AAATATATATATATATATATATATATATATATATATATTGGTGAGATGCTGAAGTCTATGTTACGATATGAGGCATTTACTCAGGAACTGCTCTGAACGATTCACTGAAAGACATTTAGTAAAATTAATATGCTAATAAATTAATTGGCTTGAGATTTTTGTTAACAAGGTCATTTTCTGTAAAACATTTTCATTTGGGAATGAAGATGACGCATTTTCTAATCTACAACATAAACGACTTAAAAATGGGAAATTGGGGAAAAACTCTGCTTGTATTTCTGGGAACCTTGTGTCACTATTTTGGCTCACCCAACAAAAACAAAAGCATATTTTTAGAATATTTATGTGTGCATTTAAAACTATCCGAACGCGAGTAGGATTAATAAAATGAAAATAGATGAGTACATTTTGATGACAAACTTTGATGTGACAAGGCCTTGTTTGAAAGTTTTAAAGGGGTCATCAACTGCCTCTGTTTTTTTATTTTGAACTGTTCTCTGAGGTCCACTAATAATTTTAACAATTTTTACGTAAAAAAACATCATAATTTGGAAGTAATAGGCTATTTTCTGTACTGTTTTTGACCCCCCTCATCAGAACACTCTGTTTGAATAGATGTGGAGGATTGTAGATTTAGAAGTAAACGCCCACTGCTATGACTGGCTAATAGTTGTGTATGTTTGACAGTCTGCGTCCTTCACAGATGCACACTGCTGTGATTTAGGTTAAAAATGCAGAGCAGTTTCCCAAAATGTTTTGCTCTTAAACCTGCTTGACAGGGTGTCTATAATTATTAAAATCACAAGATTAATCAGTGCGAAACACAAACCTGAGTATGTTGAGTTGACAGTTTGGACTTTTCAGTCCAGCAGCAAGCAGTTTCCCTCCCGAATCCTGCAGATGATTGTTACTCAGGTCCAGCTCTCTCAGGGGGGAATTAGATGATTGTAGAGCTGAAGCCACAATTTCACACTGCTGACCAGTGAGATTACAGCCTGCCAAACTGAAAACAGCAAGGACTCTTGTTTAAAAGGCATGCTGGTGTGCTAATGTCCCCACCAGACTGAAAGACTTCCTTAGTTCAGTGCTTCTCAAACCTGTCCTGGGGACCTCCGTCATTGCACATTTTGGATGCCTCCCTCATCAGTCACACCACAATTCAATTCAGGTCTTGGAGTCTCTACTAATGAGCTGATGAGTTAAATCAGATGTGTTGGATGAGGGAGACATACAAAATGTGCAGTGCTGGGGTACTCAGGACAGGTTTGAGAAGCACTGCCTTAGTTAACAAACGTTACCATATAAGATCATGTTAGTTTAACATTCACTCTCTGATCTGTTCCAAAAAAAAAAAAAAAGGTCCAAAAATTAAAACAAGTTCATGACGTAATTAAAAGTACATTATGTACATCATATCTGTAAATTTGTAAATTTAAAAAAACTGGGATTAATTGAGGGTATTTGGTCAGGGTTTGAGCTAAACTCAGCAGGACACTGGCCCTCCAGGACTGGAGTTGATAATATGATGAGTTACTTTATTACATAAACCAATTATATTGACGAAAATCACCTTAACAACTGCAGAATCAGACTACATTTACTGGTTAAGTTGACAAAGCATGTAGCTATTTTTTTTACATTCTACAAATCTTTAAAAAAAAAAAAAAACTAATAGCATTGATTGTTTGGGAACGAAGACATCACTCACTGCAGAGATTAACATATTAATGCTTGTGAACACAAACCCCAATAAAACACATCAAACTTCCATCACAACTTATGTTGAACCTTATGTTAAATATAATTGTGTTCAGCTTTTCACACTTACAAAGCTTTTCTGCAGTTCCTCACAGCAGGTAACAGTCTCCATCGACCCTCTCTTGTTTTGATATTGTACTGTTTAAGATCAAACTCATCCAACACCTCCTCTGACATCAGGATTATGTTCGCCAAAGTTGAGCATTGTGCAAGAGAAAGCTTTTTTCTTTTTGTTTTAGAATTTAAAAATGCCTGCATTTCTTTAACAACAGAATTATCTTTCATCTCAATCAAGCAGTGTGACAGATTCATCCATCTTTCAGGACTGACATAATTTTTTTGACCTCGTTTGAGGTTTTGGGTTATTTTCTTGATGATCTCTGGGTTGTTCTCTGTGTGTATCAGTGCATCCTGTAAGAGTCTCTGATTGGACTCCAGTGAGATGCCATGAAGAAATCGAAGGAAAAGATCCAGGTGTCCATTAGAGACGGTTTTTCCAATTCCAGCGATGCCTTTAGTAAGAACCGTCTTTATTTTGTCTTTCTTCTCTCTTCTGTTCTCCTCATATCCTGGTTCAGGTAAAGGATTAAAGATGTCATTGCAGTTGATTGGAGTGTCTTGGAGTGTCCTGTAACTTTTCTCCATCTGCAGCACCTCATGTTCTTCATTCACTCCTTCACTCTCTCCCTCTATGATGTACAGCTGTGTGTAAATCCTGTTCAGGAGAGTTTGATTCTCTTGTAGTTTGATTCCCTCAAATACGCTCTCATACTTGTTCTTCATGCTGGTTCTGTGCTGGTCTTTGACTCTCTGAAGATCATCATAAACTGGTTGGTGAGAATTGAGCTGCAGAGCTGCTTCTGTGTCATGATGACTGAAGTGGTTCTGACTGTAGGAGGATGTGCTGGACGGACAGGACACATATCTGATCTGGTCAGCTCTCCCACCACTGAAAATATATTAAGAAGAACAGAGAGACAAAAACAAACAGAAAGAGTTTTATCAAAACAGAGAAAATATTTAAATGTCTCTAATATTAAATAATCTTATTTGAAATCATACCACAACCACATTTAGAAAGATTTGTTTGATATATGTGATCCTGTCTGTGAAAACCCAGCTAAAGTAAATTTTTTGTGATTCACCGTTTTCTACATAAAATCATCCTTCATAAAGATGTAGAACATTCTGTGAAAATATAATCTTTATATCTTTAATATTGACTGAGTAAGGCCATGTCAAAGATTGAAATCATAGTGAAATGAATGGTTGAAATCAAACTTTGATGCTTGTTATCTCATAATTAGATTTTGAGACTTTAGCCTGGATTTCACAGACAGGGTCACATATAGGCTAATTTTAAATATAGTCAATCTACTGTGGCCAACAGATCCTTCTTATTACCATCAATATTACTCTGATGTAGAAATCCCTGAATTTTTGTGTAATTAGACAAAAAGGGAATAGACATAGAGAAGCATATGAGAGCACTATTTAACAAATCAGCTTCATTTAACAAAGAGCCTATTGACTTTTTCTTTTCAGTTTTCTTTCTTTATATTGTGATTTTAATTTTAGTGTTATATTTGCTGTTAAAAAAAGAGAACACAATTTCTGTTAATTTTTTTCTGTCTTTAGAACTTTATTGCAAAAATAAAAATTTAAATGTCTCTTTTGTTATTCCTGTGTATATTATTTGTTCTTGTGTTGAATGTCTCTCTCTACATGAATATACTCACACAGGATCAAAGAGCACTGATTCATCACTGACATCAGGGGGCTGTAGTGGAGAAGCTGCTCTCTTTCTCTTCCTGCTGATGATACTGAGAAAAACATAATAGAAAAAAATTAGGAATCAATTTCACGACTCCTAACTTTTTGCTATACGCGTATTTTTCAAAGCGTTTTTATGCTAAAATCACAATGCTGACCAGCCGTCGCCTTTAGAGAGAAATGTACCTTCAATACAGATTACATAATCATTGAATTTTGTTTCAAAGTACACATTTCAGGCTTTCTGTAGATATATTTCTCATGTCTGTAAGGCAAGTAGGCTGTACACGGAGTTTAATTTTTGTGCCATGCTCCAGTTCACGGAGACCGAGACAACAGAAAATGCATCCAGAAAGCGATTGTTTTCTTTATTTTACAAAAACACAACGTTTTGTTAATATAGTGAGTGTCCACAAAAAAAGGAGACCCTTTACAGTTTAAAATGATTAGTCTTATCTGTATAAGCAAACATGAGGGCAGATTTTAGGTTGTTTCCATAGTTATCAGGAAAAAATCCCACCGATCGCGCTGGCGCCTCTGTGCGCGAACAGCTTCCATGTGTCTAATAGCACACATTCATCTAAGTTATAATGTTAGCATGAGCAGCAGTGTAAAGCTGCTACAATTTACATGTTTTCATTTTCAAATGATAATTTGAATGTCTTATTTGAGGTCGATGAATGTTACCTCGTTCTACACTATTTCTATGATTAAATGAATGACAGAGACCAAGAGACCTCTCAGCCAATCACTGTGGGTGTAGTTAGTAAGTTTGATGACATCATCCATCATCAGCCATCAGTCAACATCAAGGTCAACGCCGCCTTTTCTCTTAGCTTAAGATTTCTCCCCGTTCCTTAGCAAAAGTAATATATGGATGAGCCATTTATGTCACTTTATTGCTTGCAACTTTATAAAACATGCTCAGATCGTGGAATTACACACCATTATTTAGAGCTCATTCTCCTGACTAATAAGATCCTAAACTCACTATAATCCATCACTTATATCTAAAGATATTCCTCTTGAATTTATAACACACATAAAACTGACCAGGCGACATGTAATTTAGCAAAAAACTCAAAGTTGGCTTTCATGTGGTGTTTTCACTTGTAACTTCATAAAACATGCATATATCATGGAGAATGGCATGTCATTATTTGCAGAATATTTACCTGATTAAAAAGAGCCCAAACTTTTTATAATCCATCGAGTTGGTTACTTATTGATGATGATTCAATCGTCATATAGTGGCCTGATTCACTGATCTCATCTGGAGTCTAATCTCCGAGTATATTAGATAGTTTTACATTATCTACAGCAGTCTTGTAATGTTATAGCTGTCGGATATTCTGATTTCTTTTTTTCTTTTTTTTTAAGGGAGTTGACTTGTTAACTGAGGTTCGAGAGCGGGACCACGCCCAAAACAATCACCTGACTTCCCGAAACCTTCAAATATCGGGCCGCCTCATACCGTACTGTTTGTCTCCTTCTCTCTAAACCACCCTTTCCCTCCCTTTTTCATCCATTCAGCCATCCTTATCCCATATTTTTCTTTCTTTCAGGTTGTATCGGGGGGTCCTAATCGTCTGGCCTAAATATACAATCGAGATGATACCCCCACCCTGAGTCCCCCCCATCACTTCTAGATGCCCTGATAAACCTGACCATCATCCCATTCCATCAACCCCTTCATCCTCTTTCTACTCTTCCCCAACATCCTGTTCAATTAACTATTCCATAGCTTGTTTGTGGCGTGGTCCTAGTTCGTGAAATTCATTATAAAGAAGGTGTTTTTGAGTGTTTTTTTGCCTCACACAAACATCAAGAATCAGTGCATGAATCTTAACAATGGTGACAATCATTAAAAACTTTTTGTGACTTTAGCTTGTATTGTGACGTTCAGAGTTGATCTGTTCATCTGAATAATCTGTTTGTCATTTGTCACCATTGTTGAGGTTCATACGCAGATTCTTGATGTCTGTGAGTCTACACGATTCTGTCCAAATAACTTCCACATAATGACTTGGAAACCTTTCAAAATATCAAAGCATGTAGTAGTATTCTAAGAATATAATAATGCAAAAATAATAAATTAGGGTGACCATACATCCTCTTTTTTCCAGGACATGTCCTCTTTTTGGACCTAAAAAAAATGCGTTAGGCTGGGATTTCTAAATTGCACAAAATGTCCGGGATTCGGCTTTTGCCTTCTACAGTTGTCATTCATTGTGTGCATTTTTGTATTAAAGCCTTGCGTGGGACTGTTTTCTTAATCCCGCTCCCGCAAACATTGTAATATTGAATATATAATTTCCGTGCATCAGGGAGTCGCTATCAATATGAGTAGTAATTAAATCGCTTTGGATGCAGCTCGTGTTGGATGTAGGGTTGCCAAATCCGCATTTTTTTCCACGGAATTGGGCTGATTTTAAACTGTTGTGGCGGGTTGATTTTCTCCCGTGGGTTAAAGGTTTGAAATATTGCATAAATTACATTTGACTGAAATGCTTGTATTGAAACATTTTGCATTCTACCTATGATAAAACGGTGGTTGATATATGGTCACTTTAACTACATCTAAATAGCATACACACTAGGGTGGCCATATGCGCCGTTCATACGGGACACGTCCCAGCCAGGATTTTAATATTGCCTAAAATATCCAGGTTTTGGCTGTTTGCACTGTGCAGGTCGATCATTGTGTGACATTCATGAGAGTTAAAGAGAGCAGAGCAGACGGCTCCTTATGCTTTCGAATCGCTCTCTGGTGTCTTTTTTGATCAGTGCGCAGCGACTCTTCAAATTAAACAAACGAACAAACATACTGGTGCATTTCAATAAATTAGAATGTCGTGGAAAAGTTCATTTATTTCAGTAATTCAACTCAAATTGTGAAACTCGTGTATTAAATAAATTCAATGCACACAGACTGAAGTAGTTTAAGTCTTTGGTTCTTGTAATTGTGATGATTTGTGAAGACTGCACGCATCACGTGCAGTCTTCACGTGATGCGAATTCGCAGGTCAGAGTTCACCAAACTTGAACTTTGGAACGCAGCGAAATTTTTTGCATGAGCTTGCGTTTCCGGTTTGACGCATTCGCATGCGTATGAATGGAAGTCAACAGAACGAAAAGAGCAGTGTGACCACCCTGGGTCCAAATAAAACATCAGCTCATGCACAGACTATCCTGTCAGTTCTACAGGGAACTGACACCGGCTCAATGAGAGAAAGCAGAGAACAGATGCAAGGAACTTTACAGAATGGTGCAACAGAAGGAAATCACCAGTCTTCGGGAGGCTCTAACAGCTGCTGGACACCGAGAGCAGCTTGAAAAAGCCACCAGACAGGACTTGGAAAAAGAACTGTTTCACACAAAATCACTGTTAATATAAATGTTTATTCATAACCATGCTGAAAATAAGTCAATGCTAACTGTCTAGCTAACGAGCTTGCTGGTGCTAAATTGAGGCAATTAAAAAAAATATATAAAATCCAAATATTTTTATTCAACCACCTGGATAGATTACATCTAAGGGAAAAAGAAAGAATGTGATGTTCAGAACATGGCAACTACAGTAATTATCAAAGTGGGAAGTGATGCCCTCGGGGGGCATTTGGCCAGGGGTGTTTTTACATCACAGACAAGGTTTGAGAAGAAAAAAAAATCATTATGAAAATCTAATTATAATTTCCTTTTTATATTCATTATTTCCTTATTGGTTATTTTGGGAAAATCCGAGGTATTTTGAGCAGTAGGATATGTTGGGAAAATCCCAGGTATTTTGAGCAGTATGATTATAAAAAAAATTTAATGATAAAGTAGCCTATATAAAACTGCAAAATAAACATTCATCTATAGGTACTTTTTACTTAAGTACATAAAAAATCAAGTACTTTTGTACTTTCACTTGAGTAAAATTGAAAACAGAGTACTTTTACTTTTACTGGAGTAATATTTTATTATACGGACCTGTACTTTAACTCACGTACTTGATTTGTGTACTTCGTCCACCACTGCTAATTTGCTGGTGGGTTTTTGTTAAATGTGAGCCAAAATCATCACAATTAAAAGAGCCAAAGACTTAAACTACTTCAGTCTGTGTGCATTGAATTGATTAAATACATGAGTTTCACAATTTGAGTTGAATTACTGAAATGAACTTTTCCACGACATTCTAATTTATTGAGATGCACCTGTATTTGCATCGCTTTGATCATTCCCTGTAGATCTCACCTTCTCACGCGCAGCCCCACGTTTGGTCGATTATGTACAATACCTGCATGTTATTGGTCAAACTGCTTTGGATGTTTTAGGCAATATTAATATCCTGGCAAGGACGTGTCCTGTATGAATGGCGCATATGGCCACCCTAATACACACAGATTAAACTCTGGATATGATTAGTAAATCAGGCCACTACACGATGATTGAATCATCATCAATAAGTAACCAACTTCATCTGATCAGATTTTCTCTAGCAATTTTTGATATAATAAATGCGATTTATAAACACACAGTTATAGCAGCCAGAGAAAATCTAATTTTAAAAAGTCAAGGGTCAAGAGCCCAACTAAAGCTTATCTCCACAACGGTGACTTCATGCATATTGCAATTTTATACATCTATTTTTTTTTTAAGTGCAGAAATCATGATACATTATCAGACTATAATCGCCAAGTGAAAATTTCACATTATGACATCCATAAACAAGTGCTGAAAACATAGTTGTCCCTCCCTGCACTGTATTTTGACAGTGTATATAGACTCCGATTTTACAATATTTTACACAGTAGGGTTTGATCGATACTATCAGCTCTGCTGGCCTAGAGAAGCAAAATGTGTAGCAACAGGATGGGAAAGTTGTAACAAATGGGAAAATCCGGACATAAAGAAGTGCAGATTTGGAACCTAGCTGGAACCTATGATAATCAATGGCGATATACTATGAAGATGTCCATGCTTGTCTACCTTTCAAGTTAATATATACCTGAAACCAATCAGGATCATGAATCCTGAAGTAGTGATATAAATTGCTGATTGCTGCTGTATGTCATGTGTGAGCAAAGTGGCCTATAAACTCCTTGCGGAGTGTTGAAACTGACTTCTGCTATTAAAACTGAAAATAACATATTCTTCTGTGATTCTAGATGCAGTTCCCCTGTGTTTTCTGACAAAAAGTATTTATGGTTTAACATTTGAAGGCAAAGAACTGTAAAGCCATAAATATTAGTATTGTATTTTTGGCAAATAATGATTATTATTATTAAATGCAATCTTTTTACTTCACAGTACAATAAGGAATGGTTCATGTTGTTGTTGTTGTTCCCCCTTCAGAACCCCCCCCCCCCCACACACACACACTTGCCTGATTGTTCTTTCTCCTTTAACTGAAGTAAGATTCTTAGCACAGTTTTCATTTCAGTGATCATGCAGGTATGTATGTATAAATTGTAAATGTATTAAATGACTGAGAAATCTTTATTATTAAAAAATTCGGTCCCACTTTATATTAGGTAGCCGTAACTACGATGTACATTTAAATGAATCATTTAATACAATGCACTTATTGTGCACATACATGTTGTACTTTTACATTTTATATATTTTTTTAAATGTAAATTATAGAATGTTTCTATATGTAGTTACATATGTAATTAATTTCTGTAATTACATTTATAATTACATTGTTGACCCATCACTTACACCTTAACCCACCCTTAAACCTACCCATACCACCAAACCTGTCCCTGACTTTACCTGTATCCCACCTCAATAGCAGTAAAAGTGTTTTGCAATACATAAAAAAATAAGTGCAATATACTTATTGTGGTCATATTGTAAGTACATAGTAGTTAAGGCCACCTAATATAAAGTGTGACCAAAAATTCAATAAACAGAAACGCAGTGAGAGAATCATCATGTAAATAAAATATACATTCAACTTCATGATACTCACACAGGGTCAAAAGTCACAGCAGGTCCATCACTGAGATCAGGGGGCTGAAACATGGAGTTGTTACTCTTCATAGACACACAGCTGAATCCTGGAGATGATGCTCTCTGAGTGTAAACAGGAGCCTCCTGCTCTCTCTCCTCATACACACTCATTTTATAAGCAGGTTTCTCCTCCTCTCTCTCCTCATGCACACACGCTTTACAGGCTGTTCTGCTTATCTTTTTTTCCTAGATGAGCGACTTGATTTCAGGCCTATATGTGGAAACAGAGAAAATACACTGAATTTTTACACAATTGAGTTTCAGTGCAGGCTGGTGCTCAGAAGTGAGGAGGCAAAGTGACTAAAGTGCCTGGACGCCACGCAGTCATGGTTTACAGTACTTTTAGAGCAGTTAAGGGCTGTTGTTATGCACGAAGCACAAAACCCAGATGCAGTAACACACTTTTGACACAGTAATATAGGGATAATGCTAATAATGATCCAACAGAATTACTAAGAGCGGAGATCCTCATCACATAATTTCTTTAAAAATCTGATTCTCACAAGGAATAACAGTCAGTATATAATGCTTGCTTTTCTGAAATGAGACATCCTTGTTGATGTTTGAGGCCAATAAATATACACTCTGGAGGGCACAGCCTTTGAAATGAGACACATAGTGAGATATTCAGCTGCAGACCCCCAGTATCAGCAGTTTCAGGACAGCAGCAGCGTCAGGGCAAAAGTGAGGGCAGAGACAGGCCATGTACACATTGTAAAATTTCAGGAGTAAAAACCGCATTTAAATATGAGAGTGAATCCTCTAAATCAGGGTTCCTCAAATCTTACCCTGGAGGTCCAATGCGCTGCAGAGTTTAGCTCCAACCCTGATCAAACTCAGCTACCTGTGATTTTTCTAATGATCCTGAAGACATTGATTAGCATGCTCAGGTCTGTTTGATTAGGGTTAGAGCTAAACTCTGCAGGAAAGTGGATCTCGTGGGCCAGATTTGAGGGTCCCTGCTCTAAATGATCAATTTGTGTGTACGGAACAGAATTCACTCTCAAAATTTTACAGGCCATGTACACACTGTAAAATTTCAGGAGTAAAAACCGCATTTAAATATGAGAGTGAATCCTCTAAATGATAAATTTGTGTGTACGGAACAGCATTCACTCTCAAATTGTGATGATTGATGCATTATAACCATAGAAACGTTCTGAATTCTCACACTTTTGGTATGAGCTATGGGAGTTATGGGCAACAGACTTCTGTATTCTGTAAAACAGGTCACATCACATCCGGTTCAGATCTTTTGTATGCGTTTCATTAAATACTGAGCTGTTTTACTCAAGATGCGTTCAGAGGAGATACCAAAGATAATCATAACCGATGTCCATCACACATGCATTGATATTAAATTTTTTTCTTCTTCTTACTAACATTCTAAAACATTAAAATGG